AAACAAACAAACAAATAAATAAATGCCAAGAGTGAGCCCTTCTATATATAGGGCCCTCTTTGCACAGATTTCAAACTCATTAAACCAACCTTCTCTCTCCCCATACTCCACACATATCATCGTTTTGAAAACCCTTGGTTTTACAGGTAAAAAACGTAATTAGAAGCTAATGTTGGTGTGAGGTACAGCATTCAGGAGGAGTCTGGCAAATGTGTGTTCTAGTCTGGGTTCTGATACTTGCTTCATGACCTAGTGTGTCATCTCACTCCCCCTCTCCCTGCCCTAGATATTCTGTTATACTCTAAATCTTGTCATTGCCATCCATTGCCTCTCTCTCCCAAAACCTGTGTTAAAAGCATCATCTTCTCTGAACAACACCTCGTTTTCGTATTCACCATTTATTCTAATACCTCCACTCTAAAAACTCTTCAACCTTATCAGGACCTTGAATCATTGATTCCACCATTTCCCTTCAGTTTTCACCCTTCATTAAGCCCTCCCTTCCCTCCTAACTTAGTATATATTCCAATTATTCTTCTCATACACTCAGCATTTTTAATCCTCTCTCTTTTTTGTGTTCATCCAACAAAACCTCATCTATGGTTAATCTACCATCGTGAAACCAACACCGTCCTACTGACTTCATGCCAGCACCTGAGCAATGGAGCCTGGCTACAGAAGCACTCGCTCATCTCACTTTAAAACGATAACTATTGATTTCAGATGGACCCTCAGAATATCCTAGCAATTCTTACACATTTATTTAGAAAAGTTACTTTCTCATTCCCTAGGACAACAATTTCACATCTCATTTGTGCTCCTCAGATCTCTAACACCCCCTCCATCATGCACAGGCTCACCTGTTGACCTCTTTTTATATGTCCTAGAGAAAATCCAAGCACTTAAATGAAAACCACTTACTTTCCTACCACCAGGTCTGCAAGTGTGATCTCCCTGTTACAAGGAAGGAATTTTCCCTGCTCCTTTCCAAGGTCAGCTCTTCACTCATGACCTGGACTCTGTAATTTCTCATCCATTCAAAGACTTTGCCTCTGCAGTTTTCTCCTCTCTCTCCTGCCATATCAGTTTCTCTCTCACTTTTTCTTGGATAAATTTAATACAGACATGATATAATATTTCTCATCTTAAAAAAACAACAACAGTCTCTTGACCAAAGTTCCCCTCCTATTACTGCCTTATTTTATTTTGCTTTACATAATAACTAGGAAAATTGTCTATTTTTATTGACTCTACTTTATTACCTCATTTTCTTATTTTAACCTATTTCATGCTTGCATCCCCACAATAGTCCTAACATCACCCCTATCAAAGTCACGCCAGGGTCCATCTTGCAAAATACAAGTATCAGTTCTCAGTTCTGACTGATTTCTCAGCAGCATTTGATGCAGCAGTCATTGCCTCCTTCCTCAAAGGTGTTAATTTCTTGGCTTCTGGAACAAAACACTCCCCTGTTTATTCACCACCTCATGGGTGCTCTTTTTCAGTGTCCTTGCTGGCTCCAATTCTAAATATTGGAGCACTGCAGAAACCCAGTGCACAGACCTCATCTCTCCTCAAACCCTAGGCCACCTCATCCAGACCCATGGCTTTAAATATCAGCTACCAGCTGGTGATTCCCAAATCTGAAGTCATTACCTCCCCTGCACTCCAAATGTGGACAGCTAACTGTCCAGTTGGCATCTCTGGTATGTTCCCAATAGAATTTATGATTTCCCTGCACTCTCCACCCTCTGGGCCAAAGCTGCTTCTAGCTTAATGTTCCTCCTCTTAACTAATTGGTTCTATCATTTTTCTTATTATTCAAGCCAAAAAAAATCATCTAGGCATCTTGCTTAATTACACGTTTTCCCTCAGCATCCAGAGCAAGCCCTACTGGTACAACCATAAAAATAGATTTCAAAATCAATCACAACTTGCCACCTGTTCTGCTGAATCCTGCTCCAAACCAATATCATCCCATGTCTGGACTACATTTCCCCTCAAAGTAATCAGAGTAATCTTTTAAAAAATATAAACCAACCTTGGCTTGTTTGACTCAATGGTTAGACGGTTGGTTGGCCCATAGATCGAAGGGTCTTGGGTTAGATTCCAGGTCAACAGCACGTATCTCAGTTGCAGGCTCCATCCCCAGCCCCAGTTAGGGCCAGTGCAGGAGGCAACCAATCTGTGTGTCTCTCTCACATCAGTATTTCTCTCTCTCTCTCTCTCTCTCGTCTCTCCCCTCCATTCTCTCTCTCAAAAAAAAAAAAAAAAAACAATGGAAAAATTATCCCTGGGTGAGGATTAACGAATATATATATTTGTTCCAGCAGGTCATGTCACTTTCATTCCTAAAGCCCCCCAAGAGGTGATAATTATACTCATCATCACCATCTAC